CGCACACCGATGGAAATGAAATTTTCAAGATCAGGAAATGCATTCTAGTACCACAACAAATTTATTTCATTTATAATTACAATTTGTGGCCAATCGGGAAACTCGGATTAAACAGTTGGATTTGATGTGTTTTTGTTCTCTACTTATTTGATAATGGCTATTTTAATGACAGCTATTAATGTGTGAACATAAGTTAATACAGGATCATAATATCTTGGCAGGATTATAATCTCTTAGTTAATGCCGTTAAGTTGGGAGGGAAGGGCTTAAATATAACCCGAACCCGGAGGCTTTTTTAAGGGCGAATGAGAGTGGAGCTTTTCAATGGCAGTTTACTGTACCCTTTCATCTATGTTATTTGTATTTTGCGGTCCCAGTGTGACTGCGTCGTCTTTATGCTCCACAAATTCTTCACACGATACCATTACCACATTACAAAGTGAGAAAGTATTTTACGGTGGATAGCAGCTACACTTCTTCGAAAAATCTTCAATTCGACTAAGGTAGTTCTTGAAATATCTCGATTACAGCTAAGCAAAGGAACCATCTCCACAGACTCCGGCAGTGATATCTTTCGTATCGGAACAGCAATAACCTCCAACGATGGTGAGAAACGAACACGCCCTGCTCTCCATGACGCTTCTAAGACGGACTGTTCAATTACGCCAAAAATAGATCCCTTGATCAAGAGTTGTTGATTTCACCTCTCTTTTCCCATGCCAGGAGCGTCACACATTGTAAAGACTGCGCCTGACCAATTTACTAAATTAGAAACTCTGGAGATAGCATTATTTTCAGATTCAGGAAATGAGTACCGGTCTGATAGGAGAATATATATATTCAGCACATGATTATTTTCAGCGTTTTCCTTTCTGAGCAAGATCACTATTAGACACCAAGGCGAACGTGGAGCAAGGACGATCCACTCCTCCCCCACCCTTAATGGTGCTTTTTTTCGTTCCTTCCAAGACATCTGTTCCTTCTAAAAAAAAAAACAGAAATTTAAGTGATTATTGTATAGAGGCCAAACTCATTTCTGCCACATCTGTTTGCTCCGTGTTGGACAATTTACCGAACAAGTTTATTTGTCGAATGTAAAATTTCGTGATATTTTCAATGAAAATTAAAGCTAATTCGATTTCATAATTTAATTTGAATGTTTATACAGGCGTAATGATGCACTACTGATTCTCTGAGATGAAAGTATATTTGGGCTGCGGATTTCTTGCCTTGTGCCTTTTTTCAACCCAGATTCAAAGTTCAGTAATCGGCTAGTTTGCATCATTGTAAACTTCCGAAAGTAACGAGTGAAGTAACGACACTCGTTACTTTGGACGGAATAGGGCTCGTTACTTCGGGAAGCCCAAAAAGTTATATGAAGTTGGCACGACTGAGCTCTGTTTAACGAAATAAAAAATGGAAATTCGTTAAAACCGTTCTTAAACATAAAATTAAATTCTTCGTTGCAGTTTGAAGCTATGGTTCTGTCACATGGATGAGCTGCTTTTTTTGGATAAATTAAGGAACAATTAGGCTCTTTTCTGGTGTTTGCATGTTTAGTGCCTTTCATAAACATCCTTAAGTGACTCTAACATCTAAACGACGTCTTCGAACACCTGTGAGAGTGAGAGTGGCGAAAGGGAATCCATGGCCGTGAACATAATCAGGGCTTGCTTGGAATAATTTATTTGTTAATTTTTCTTGTTAAAATTGCCTCAGGAATTGCATGCCATTCCGTGCATCAGCTAACAAACACTTTACACGTGGAAAAATGGTGATAGTAAATCATCGAGCCCGACATGCGTTTACAGGCTGAATCTAGTAACTAAGTTATCTCGCCGCATAGTTATTTCCGAGAGGTGTATGGACATACACAGGAACTTTATCCAATTAATAGTTTCGTAGAAGAGCATTCATCTCAGGTTTAAGGGATGATTTATTATAGTTCATAAAATATTCTATACAGTAACAAAGAATACGCCATGACCTGGTGACCTTTGTAGAGTCTCAGTAATTAACTTAAATTCATTGCATTCAAGTGATGTAACGCAATCCTAACCCAGTTTGCATCGAGAATTTTGGGAGGGATTTCCCTCCCTCCCCCCTGCCCCCACCCCACAACAGGAACAAATTACATTATGGGCGCATGCACGCAGTCATGTATTCGCCGTATAGATTCGAAGTGTGTATGATTTCTGCAAAGCTGCATTTATTTTGACCCGCCAGCGCTAATTCACCTTTTTCATTTGTGAAAACAAGATGTCAATATTCGAGCAATGTAAACAAATACAAACACTGAAAAAAATTAAAAATATTTGGCAACGCACTGTCTTGCAGGGTCGCTAGTCAAAACTTTATTTTCTCAAGGAATGTTTGGCGATCAGAAATTGGATTCTAAGTGTCGCCAACAGGTCAAATGCCTTTCATGGAAAATATTTTGTCCAGTACAAGTTAATACTTAATTACTTTAAAAACACTTTTAACGCAGACTTCAACTTCACTTGCAAATCGTGCAAACTTAGTTTTCTATCGCGTCATTTGAACGCCGCCAAAGTAGACCAACCATGCAAAGTACTCGCGTGAACGCACGGCTCTAATCTTTAATTACCACTAGTTTTATATAATATACTTCTTTATCACCACATCCATCGCAGTATCAGAATAACAGAATTAAAAACTTTAAATCAATTGCTATTGGAAGCGGATTGTTTGAAGCAACAGTTTAAACCGCTTTTCGCTCGCGTGTCAGTGTTTCGTTACCTTGACAATACGCAAATTAGTTGGAATTTCATAGAAAATTCTCTGATTTTGGTGGCATTTTTCAAAGCGCCCGCTGGAAACCCAAGCAAATGTTTATATCTCGTGCAAGAAGAATATTTCGGCACTTTATAGCCATAAAATGAGCTCGATTCGAGCTCGGCCACATAACGAAAAGTCTTATTGCAATTATAGGCTAAAACTTGCTTAACAACGGCTTCATCAAAGGATGTGTTTTTCACAGTGACAGCTATCATCTGCAACCGAAAAACAGACAACTGTAGAGTGCCAAAAACTTCTTCTTTTAATATTAGTATCTAATTCCTGAAGACATAATTTTAACTATTAACGCGAAGACGTTTTTGCAACGCTATTTTTTGCCAATTTATCGGGCCATTTTTTTGCTAGAAAGAGCGCGAAATCCATTTTGCCAAATATTCCTGAAAGCAGGCCGTATTTAGAAAAATGAACCCCAAAACCTTTGAAAACTCATAAATACCCCTCTATAAACTCGAAATAAAGGAAAGTTAAATTTTGACCGTGGCCACGCTTTGCTGGATTTTTGTGTATTTGCTGTTAAGTTTTCCTTTTTCTTGTTTTTTATCCTGTTTGATTTAATTGCAGCTAATGTGTGTTGCCAGAATTAGTTAATTTTCTTTCGTTTTTCCTAATGTAAGCAAGTAACACCGGGTGTAAATAAGAAATGTATATTGTAATATCGATGTAGCCTTAGCACAGTACTTTGCTATTGTAATTTTTAATTTGTAATTATTTAAGGTGTTACCTTAAATGTTCTGCAAGACAAAAAAAAAGAAACCAAGAAAAAAACGAACCAACAACAAGGACACAACTAGTCTTTACAAAGTTAAAGAAAAGTGTTCCGATGGAAAATAAATATTTGTAACCGAGCTCAAACAAATAAAATTGTTCAAGATCAAAAAACCAGAACAATACAAACAAAACAAACAAAACAAACAAAACAAACAAACAAACAAACAAAAGCCGTTGCTCTCTCTGCGGTGGCTTATCCTGAACTGTGGACATCAGTCTCTCCATCTTTTCTGACTGTTCCTTATTCTTGGACATCAATTCCTGTATCTGTTTTGACTGCCGCTTATCCCTGGACATCAATCTCTCTATCTGTTGTGACTGTCGTTCTATCTGTTGTGACTGCTCCTTATCCTTGGATGTCAATCTCTCTATCTGTTGTGACTGCCGCTTATCCTTGGACATCAATCTCTCTTTCTCATGTGACAATTGTTCTATCTTTCTTGACTGTCCTTCTATCCATCGTGACTGCCGCTTATCCTTGGACATCAATCTCTCTATCTCTTGTGACTGATCCATAGTCACAGCGCCAAGCTCATTAACTCGACGCAGGACTAAGTTGAAATGCTGTTCAGTTTGAAGTTTATAGTGAGATTCGGTGCCTGATCTTGGAAACTGTAAACAGAGAAATAAGTCCATCACAATCTAAAATACGGCTGATTAAAAAGCAGAGAAACTAGTTCTTTTAAAATCTCACCACTGGTTCATTTAAGTCCACAATTTTATTTCAAGTGATGTAGAATTTCCTGGAAACACTGTCAATCAATTTGTTCAGTGGTATACACTTAGTAAATTTCTAATCCGTTCCGCCACAAAAACTGTCAAAAGTACGCTTTGTATGGGGAGCTAAGATAACGCATTGGAGAGAGCCCGAGAGGTAGAGTAGGGGGGGGGGGAGGGAAGGAGGGCCCCCATGTGAAGTGGTCGGGGATACTCGCCTAGGGCTATCAATCACGGATTTTGTTCTCACTTAGGGTCCCCAGGACGAAATGCTACTACTACTTTTAGCCGTCAAGGCATCTTTATGGCCGCACTCTACAAATCATGATAGTAATACATAGAAACGCCGTCATTTCCGTTCTAAGTGGTATGTTTTAGGGGTCAGAGAAAGCTCGAGTCACGCCCAGATTGGTTTTCTTTAGGGGTTTAGTTAACATTTTTCGACGAGCATCCTCCACCTCATCACATGTGAGTTTCCCCTCCTCTCCCCCGAGGGTGTGACTGCTTGCCTTAAACAATGTGGTCTCCGTTCGACTTTGGCCTGGCGCCATGTGTTGTTTATTTTCGTCATGATTTGTGATACGACTTTTCCCTTGGTGCCATGGATTGATTTCCTCCCTCCTAAAAAACCAACGTAACATTTCCAAATTCCAATTCGGCCTAAGGTCCGCATGAAAAAAAAAAACATGTAATTTAGATAAAGTCGTTGTCGCCAGTTTTGTGTATTGTCTCTTAGGGCAACGCTTACTGAGAACACCCAAATACCCATCCTATGTTAGACTACGCCATGGGGCGTGAAACAACACGTGATATTTTCTTTTTGTGCAGTTCGTCCTCAATGTATTCACAAGTTTAGAATGACCAGTCAATGAAAGATGCGGTACATCCTAAATCCCTGGCTTCACACTGAATTTCTACCTGAAAATTATAATTTTGAATATATAAACAAGTTCATACCACTGCTTCACATCCCAAGTAATTGTATCCACACTGAACTTCGGTTGCAGGACATTCATCGCGAACATGAACATCAAGCTGAAGATACAAACAACCACAAAAGAATCTGACATTAACCTTAAAAGATCTTTCAAATTCGCTAAAGCTCGCCTTCTGGCCTGCCAGTTCCTGCAGTTCTAGCCCATAGTTACTCCAGAGGTAGGCCTCGCACCCTATAGACACCCCTCTGAGTCTATGTGGACAGAATCATTTCCCGGAACACATCATTATGCGTTATGCACGCCCCTTTGCAACTTAGCCTACAAAACTAGAACTTTATCGCAGACTACCTCGATTTAAACAGAGTTATTTGTTTTAATCTAAATGTATCAATACCTAGAGGCCTTTCGTTATTATTACCTACACTGTAAAACAAGCACAAACAAATAGCTGTCTCTTTGCGCCGTGAGATCTTTTTAATTTAAACACTTCTGTTTTGAAGCGCAATGTCTTACTGCTCTTGAGCCGTGAAATTAGTACACAAGGTGCTGAAGTTTGCTTTGAGTTAAGGTTACAAAACAAACCTTTTCTCGCGGAATATTTCTCACACCACACTTGTTAGTACACAGAACAGGAAACTTTCGGCAAATATGAAAATGACTCTGAAAAATAATTAAAAACTTTCCGTCAATAAAGCACATTCGATAGTCGGTTCCCACCCCACACGATTCCTCCATGGTTTAATTTGTCAATAGCTGTTCACAATCATTGAAAATATCTTAACATAGAGCTTACAGTTAGATAGAGAGTATTACAGACGAACCTCTCCGCAACGGTAGCCTTGAGGACAGAAGAAAGTGGCCGTTGAAGAGAGGAGGCCGTTATATTCATTCATTCATTCTGTTTATTTTGCCTTTTTACTTAATGTACAGTATTTATAAATGTTCTAATGTGAGGCGAGGTGACCTCTAGAAACCATCAGGCTTGTAGTTGAGGCCACCTCGTACGTAACAATACGGTTACATAAATAGTGCAACAGTGTGCGGCTTTGCCAGTTCAGTAATTATTTTACTAAAAACTCTTGCAGCTTTTTCTTAAAATGGGAAAAACTTGACAATGAAGTGATTGTAACAGGAAGGGAATTCCATATCTTTGGACCTTGGTAAAGAATTGTGAATTTTTTTAGATTAGTCTGGCAATGATGCACGATATAATTATTGGCTGTTCTGGTGCTGTAGCCTTGAATTTGACTGTTTGTAAAAAACAAGTTGAAAAAATATAGGAAGGTAGGAGTGTAATATGACACCTGTTTTTTCGGGGTTGAGAAATTTTTATCTTAAAAAATGCTTATTTTGCAGAAAATACTAACGCAATCATGGTTTATGAATAAGACAAAAACCAAACAGAAAGAGAGACCAACGGCGCGCAATACGGATCAGGTTTTATGATCTTTTACAGTAAAAACGGGGTTTTGTATATAGCCTTCGTCACTTGTTGATTAATTGCCCGTTGTTAAGAGGTTATTTTGGCAGTCGAGACGCGCTTTAGTGGCTGTTGCCGTTGTGGAGAGGTGGCCACAAGATTGAATGTATGAAGCGTCCGCCTGGACGTGAAAAATAGTTGTACCTGGTAAGATTCGTCGTCAATCATTTGGTATTGGTAAGCAACACAGCATGAAAACACAAATTTAAGTTTGCATAATGTTAGCGTAAAGCTACTATAAAGTTCTGCTTTACAAAGCTTTACGTCACCTTTACAATATGTTAAGGCAAACTTTATGCTGCCTTTACGCTTTGGCGTAAAGTTTGTGTAATGAGACTTCTTTAAGAGCCTTTAAGTACAGCGTAAAGCTGTTGTAAAGTGGAGATTTACGCCAGCTTTACGATACGTGTAAATATATAGTATTGGTATCTTTAAGCCAAATTTACGCTCAGCGTAAAGTCGACTTTATTCAGCTTTACGTATACGTGTAAATGTAGAGTAAAAGCGTCTTTACGCCAAGTTTGCACTTGGCGTAAAGTCAACTTTATTCTTTTATGTAAAGCAGCTGTATGAACTGCTCACATATCGTGTACCCATTATGTGGGAATTCAAATCCCACAAGTACAAACAATAAACAATCAGCTTCATTTTACATAATTTAAAAGCAAAGCCGATAAACTGGTTGCTCAATTTTAAAGCTAAGTAAAGGTTTATATTTAAGGTACAGTATGGGGTCAGTCAATGAATCAAACTGCGGTGTTCGCAATCTGGTATACGTGTATATCTCAAAAAAGACTTTCTCTCGTAAGTAATTTAACATAACTGTAACAGCAATAAGTTTAAAATAATTGAAAACCTTGTTCTTAAATCATTTGAAAAATGACAATGCCACTGAAAATGAAAACCTTGTTCTTTATCATTGCAAAACTGATAACCTTGAATAATTCAAACTTTGACATCATTGGTGAAAATGTCTCAACATGTACACATAACAAACAATTAAACTTTTTGCTTCAATGTCACTTGAAAACATTGTTCACAGAAAAATTGGAAAATTCAAAACCTTGCCCTGAAATCATTTTAAAATTGCGTCGATAGAAAAAGGAAAATTGATAACATTGTTCTAGAATCACTTCAAACACTGTTATTGGGAAAATTGAAATTGCTGTGGGACTGGTACTTGTAGAGGAAGGATGGGTCCGGTTAAGAGGAGTTCCCCTTGCCGAACAGGCTCTGTGAGGTGGAGTAGCTGCTGTTTGAGGCTGAGTGGATGGAGTTGCAGTTGCCAGAAGCGGAGTGCTGGGAGTATGAACTGCATCCTCAGATCTGATTGCTCAGTCCAGGCCTCCAATGGGCCGAAATCACGTTGATAGCATTGTATGAGGCCGTCTTGGCACCATATTTACCCTCGCTCTCCCTCGCTCTTGGATTGAGGCTCCTGTTGTGAGCATCATCGAGGGCTTTCTTGACTTTTGTCATCGTTGACCTTTCCCAAAGTAACTCTTTTACGAGATACCCAGTAAGGTACGTCTCTCCGTTTTTATCTTCCGAAAAGTCAGACTCTACGAGCTAGTATAGGTAAAGCTTCCTACAGTTAACTCCGCCATAGCCTTTTCCTTCTCTGACCAAGGTATGTTTCTGAGAGATGTGAATCTCTTTTGAATTTTAATTTCTAGGCAATCAAAGAAAGGACACAAAAGGTTACTGGTAACTAATGTATTATTGACCTAAAGACATGGGTGACCTAAAGACTCATGGGTGTATAGCACATTTATTCATCATCTGATCTGTTACTTTGTTCACTTGAAAAGGCACCTCTCCTTACGAAGTGTCAAGTACACACCAGGAGAAAATACAAATTAGTTTGGCTTGGACATGCTGTAGGTATTGTACCCCTCATAAATAACATAGCCCTTACTAAACCACTCGCATCTTTCAAATTTGGGAGTCTTGATTTTTAGTCCTGTTCATGACCACAACTCAAAAGAAGTGACTCGTGATGTACAGTAATCAATAAAATACAGAAAGTCTGACAAGACAAGATATACAGCATATCTAACATGATGACAACAACTTACGTCGATATATATCTATCACTCACTCTTCCTTGCTTCCTGAGTGTATAGATTTTTATGTGCCTCTAGCTTGCCTTTATTTGCTCTTGTAGAAGCATCATAGAGACTCTTAATAAATAAATGGCAGCAGCACCTTCCAATAAAAAGTATACACCAATGGTATTAGTACATCACTGGAGATAAATGGACTTACAATGATACAAGCGTTTATTATCACATATTTGAAGCTCCACTAAACAGCCCTTAATGACACCAACCAGCGATTTCAATCAATAATTGATGAGTAACTCCCGCGCAGCAGGAGTCCGATTTGTTTATCACGAGTAAGATTATATGATTACAGACTGAATTGGACGACTCAAAGTCTTATTACCGATTAATCATAAAAAATTACAATTTCCGAGAAAAGAATAGCCAAGTTATGAAAGAAAGGGAAAATTTGTATTAAAAGACTGACAAAGGAGGCGTAAATTCTCAATTTTGAAGAAAACTCCAATTCAGGACTCTGTGCACTGTTTCTATGGTTATTTAAACCAAGGTTGTGATTGGTTGATTTAAACTACAACTTTGAATATTATTGGCTTATTGAACTGTCCGATAACAAACTGTTCGATAACAACTTGGCAAGTGAATTAGTCGAAAATATGTCAACAACCCCAACAGCAAACTATTACTGGCACAATAATTATTATTACCTTTCATCTCAGCAGCAGACCAAGGGCACTTAGCAGATCCAACATGATCAGCCACCACTGCCTCAACAACCCTCTTGGTGGCTTCCTGATTGGCATCAGCCTGCAAGCTAAAAGCGTTCAATGATAAAGAGGAAATATTGTCTATACATGTAGCAAGCTTGGCCATAATTACTGTTTTGTCAACAATGTAATAATTGTTCCACAAAGAGAAAACTTTGGGTCTCAAATGGGACTCTTTCCTATAGAAGTCCCTGACAATTACATACACCAGGCGCTCTAACAACTTTAGTTAGAGTTCTAGTCAGGTTTTTCCTTAGAACGAGCCCTTACAACATTGATACTGAAATTGCATCATTACTGTGTCAGATATAAACTGTTCATGGATAAGTGCAATGCTATTGCTGTCGTAGAAGCTCTCATCCAACTTGAAGCCTTCAAAAGCTTTATTCCCTTTCAGCGATTTGTATATCTTTCTTAAATCTTGTTGTAATGAACAAGGATAAAAAACGAGGCTCCCAAACTTCCTTCCCTGAACTGAGAATATTCAACAATATCATTTCATGAGCCCAAGTTGGATACAAGGCGATAAATAACTAACTAGGCACATGGCGCCAAGTATGTTACAATCGCCTGTTATCTAACAAGGGTGAATGAAATGATAATTTATTGTCAGATTAAATTCTTCAATTACTCAGTCAATGTGAATATTTCAGTTTGATCTAAACAAAGTGATGCCAGATGGTATGAAAACACAGGAAAAGACAGGAAAATCTTTTCACTTTTTCAGTTCAATGAAACATATGAGGAAGGCGAGTGAGACAGCATTTTCTCACTAAACACTTTTTGCATACGGGTCAAACACAAGTATAATGGCTGGTAAGGAGAAATGGGAGGTGGCCACTCAATAGGGGTGGGCCACTTAAAAGAGGTTCATCAGAAATTGGCATTGTAATGTGTGTGTCCATATTTGGTATTTCCTTATTTGGAAATGAACATGTGTTTAGAGAAGGGACGCCATCTTGAACGGAGGATTAAAATTGTTGTGTTGTTAAAATGTGTCTCTGATTGATCCATATACGTTATACTACATTTGGCGACGAGGATGGCGGTTACATTAAGTGGTTTACCTTGCATCTCTCCCTTCGACTTCATTAGGGAACCGGCCACGTTAGCACAGCGCTGGGACAAATGGAAAGCCGAGTTCGAACTGTACGTGGCAGCTTTGGGAGTAGAAGACAAACTGCAAAAGCGAGCTTTACTCTTGCATCTCGCCGGCCCAGGAGTCCGCGAAATCTTCAAGACGTATCCAGACGAAGTAAAAGGTGACGCTAAAGAGCTTGACAAAGCGATGACATGTCTGTCGAATCACTTCAAAGTCAAGAAGAACGTACCTCTAGCGACACAAAAACTGCTTGCAAGCAAACAACGCGGACGAAACGATCAACAACTTTGTTACGCGCTTGAAAAGTTTGGCCGAACACTGTGACTATGGCGAAGAGGAAGATAACCAGGTGAGAGATATTGTGATTTCCCATGTCACGAACAAGGAGCTAAAGAGCAAATTCTTCCGCGAAGAAAACCTTAGCCTTTCCAGACTACTGGAAATCGTCAGCGACTATCACAATAACGGTGCCGTGGTTCTTGTTAGCGAAGACACTGTGAATCGTACCTGGGAAGACCGAGGTAAAGGCGATAAAAGAGCGAATAGCAAGCAGCCATGGCAGGGCAAATGTTGGAGATGAGCTAAGCCGGGTCACATGGCGAAAGATTGTAAAGTTTCCCGTACACATACCTGCAGCAAATGTGGAAATCGTGGGCACATAGAGGTCTGTTGTCGTACGAAATAGGATAAACAAGGCAAGGGGAGAGGCGATAGCAGACGTAGAGGGAAATCTGTAAGGAAACGAGACAGCGTACGGAAGATAGGCAACCAGCCTGAACAAAGTAAGGTGGAAGGAAGCGACGCAAGGGAAGACGATGGATACTATGTTTTCAGTGCTTCAGATGGTGAGTCAAACACTTTACCTCTTTTGATCGAAAATGAGCCCGTTAATGTCATCATTGACTCAGGTGCTACCTGCAACCTAATGTCTGAGCAAGTGTTTGATAAAGTGTCCAAAGGAAAGCTAGCATTGTTGAAGACTGACAGGAATGTTTATGCTTATGGATCTCAGGAGCCCTTAAAACTTAGTGGAAAATGCATGTTGAACATTTGTGTACCTGATACACAAACGATGTTCAAGACTAAGTTGTTTGTAATGCCAGGCACTGCAGACACGTTGCTAGGTAGAAGTTCCTCTGAAGAATTAGGTGTCCTGGAAGTAGGTTTATCTGTAAACGCTTGTGAATCCAGAAACATCACTGATAAGAAGGCTGCCCTAAAGGCAAAGTACCGACA